GATGCTGGGGGGTCCCAAACAATGCTGGATGGCTCTGAGTGGTGCTTGGGGCATCTTGAGGTGTGCTGGGGGGGGAATGGGCAATGCTGGGGGTCCTGAGATGTGCTGGGTGAGAATAGGCTGTGCTGAGGACATCCTGAGCAGGGCTGAGGGGGTTCTGGGGGAGAATGGGCAGTGCTGGTGTGTTCTGAGCAATGCTGGGTGGCCCTGAGTGGGGCTGGGAGGGTCCTGAGAAGAGCTGGGGGGGGAAATGGGCAATTCTGGGGGGTCCTGGGCGTTGCTGAAAGCCACGCAGTGCTTACCGTGGGAGCAGCCGACCCTGCCGTCCCCCAGGTGGTTCCCATTGCAGCCTCTGAGTCAGCTCCCAAATATGCCTTTGCTCATCTCACTGCAGGAAACCGCTGCTGGGAAGTGGTGGAAGCGCTGCCACAGCCCTGCATCTGGGGGAGAGCGGGGAGATGGAGCGGCCACGCTTGGATTCCATTGCTCCGGTGCTGGGCTGTGCTTGGTGGGGTGTGTGGGAGCACAGGGAGGTGATCTCAGAAATATTTCTGTGTAAGTCGTCAGCTGTGGGAATGAGCTCAGCTCGCAGCCTTGCCAGGGTGATGTGTGAGCCTCCTGTGAAATGCATGGGGATTCCTACTGGGATTGAAGAGCTGCCAAGGTCCCAAAGGCTGAGAGCCCTCCTGGGCCGAGCTCTGGTCTCCACAGTACAGCTTTTCAATCCAGGTGCTGTCCCTACAAAGACACAAGAATTTCCCAGTGTCCTGCAGCAAAGCTGGTAGCCCCAAGCCCAGCTCCTGCAGCCCCAAACCTCGTGTGATTCCATCCCCTCCTGCTCTATGCCTGCCCCTGGTGTCCCCAGCTTGGTTCATCCCCTGCTCAAAGCTTCCCATTGCAGCACCAGCACCTGTCCTCCTGCCAAGACCTGCAGCCTGGCCAGCCCCAGTGCAGCACATCACTGCTATTTCTGGCTCCACCTTGAGACTCGTGTCGTGCTGAAAGAAACCAATGCAGGCTGAGCAGGCATCAGGAGCATCTGGGACACAAATGGCTGCAGCTCCCACTGCACACAGCTCCCACTGCACACAGCTCCCACTGCACACAGCTCCCACAGGCTCTGTGCAGGCAGGCAGAGCTCCACATCATGCCTTACACCGCAGGGGGGAGCAGTGGTGGGGGCAGTGGGGATCTGGCTCTGCTCTGCATTTTTTCCCTAAGGAAAACCATCTCACTCACTGCACGGGAGCAGGAAGAGACCGGGGACAGCACAGAGCAGAGATGGCTTTAACTGCATGTATAATCCTCAGATTCTTGCATAGATCTGGGCAAATCTTGTCTGCTTCTCCTGTCTCAGTTTCCCCAAGCAGAACATCCCACAGCCCTCCAGCAGGGAGTAGGGGGTGCCTGAGCTGATGTCTGCATGGCAGGGGGATACACTGTGAGAAGTGTGTGGTGATGGGGACCACCTCCAGGTGGGTCGGGATGAACCCAATGCCTACAGATTCCCAAGCACTGAGATCCTCCCGTGCAAGGGAGCGCGTTGAGGTTCCTGTCATTAAGATAACCCCAGTCAGCACTGAGCTGTGATGGAAGTGATTTCTGTACCAAGCCATGTGTCTGGGGGCAGACAAGTGGTGTCTGTGCGGGATGGTGTGGAATCGGCAACGAGGGGAGATGTGCCGCTTCCTAATGGCACGTGGGCAGGACAGGGGCTGGCACACGGAACCCCGTTCCCCCACCCTACAGCACAGCAGGGTGCTGACTCCCACCGAAGCACCAGACACTCCCACCTGCCAGCAAACGTTCTCATTTCCTCCCTCCACGTCCCGTGCTGAGCGGAAATACAACGTGTGTTAGTCACCAGGAAGGCTGGCAGCGTGCGGCTGCTTCCTGCACCGGCACCGTGCGGGCTGTGAGCTCTGACCCACGGCACAGCCCACCCTTCCCCCAGCACCGCACGGCTCTCGGGATCCGCATCCCCCCCGCCCCACAAAAAGGGCGTTCCGCCCCGTTCTGCCTTTAAGCAGGAATCTCCTTGGAAAGTGCGGAGCATCAGAGCCCGCTGTGGGGCTCCTCTGTTTTTAGTTATCCCGATAAAGCAAAACCCGTTCAGCTTTGCCGTGTGCCCGTCTGGGTGTTCGTCCTCCATCTTCTCTGAATCTATAGGGTGGGTTTCAGTGGGCATTAGGGTGAGAAGGCTGCTGGAAGTGGGAAGAGTATTGTGCCCTCGTGCTGGGAGTTATGGGGTCTGCGCTGGGTTTGGCTCTTTGTTCAAGGTTATCCGGTCTGGGCTGGGTTATTGGGTCTGGGCTTGGGGTTGTGGGGTCTGTGCTGGGTTATGGGGTCTGGGCTGGGTTGTGGGGTCTGTGCTCAGAGTTATGGGAGTCTGGGCTTTGGGTTGTGGGTCTGAGCTTTGGGTTGTGGAGTCTGGGCTGGGTTGTGGGAGTCTGGGTTTAGGGTTGTGAATCTGTGCTGGGTTACAGGAGTCTGGGCTTAGGGTTGTGGGTCTGTGCTGGATTATGGGGTTTGTGCTCAGGGTTATGGCTCTATGCTGGGTCACGGGGCTTTGGGTCACTTGGGGTTGTGGGGTCTGGGCTTGGGGTTATGGGGTCTACACTGGATCACGAGGGTTTGTACTTGGGGTTGTGGGATCCGGGCTGGGGTTGCGGCATCTGTGCTTGTGCTTATCGGTCTGTGACTGCCAGCACAGCAGCCCAGGGCGGAGGGCACCCACGGGGCACCCACGGGGCAGAGGGCACCTGCAGGCACAGGACGGCGGGGGCCGTGCCGGGACATCCCGCACCCAAAGCCGGGATCCCTGGGATCCGCCCTCTTCCCCCATCCCCGCCCCTCGTAAGGCAGCCCTCGGGGAACCCGAAGCCGGGCCGGACAGCGGGGTGTGCGTGTGTCGGGGGGGTGGGGGTGGGGGTGTTAAATGGGGCCGCCTCCTGCCATTGCCGAGCAGCGCGCCGGGTGTCAGCAGCGAGCAGCGGCGGGCGGCGCTCCCGGTGCGTGCCGGCCCCGCTCCGCGCTCCGATGGCCGCCGGCCGCCGGGTTCCCCCGCACGGCGACGGCGGTGCGGTGCTGCTGCGGGGCCGCTTTTTCCCGGGATCGTGTCCCGGTTCGGTTTCGTGGTCCGTTGCTTTGACCGAACGGGAGCTGCAGGTGCTGCGTCCCGGCGGTCCCGACGCGGCGCTCCGTTTGGCCGATTGCGTGGGTAGCGCCGCGTTCCCGTCCGGCCCCGCCGCCGCCTGCTTCTCCCTCGTGGGTTACCCGTTCCGTAAGGCCCGATGGGGTTCCCCCGCCCGGCAGCGCCTGCAGAGGACTTTCCGCGTTTCCCAACACCCCGACGCCGAGGAGAATCTCCGCATCGCCCAGGCCTGGAGCCAACGCATCCGAGAGCTCTCGCTGCCCGCAGCGCCCACGCGGGACGGTGAGAAGCGGCGCTGCTCCGCGCGTGGGTCGGGGTGGGGGCCGGGGGTCCATGGGGGGGGGGGCGGCGGAGAGAAAAAGTTTCCCGGTCGGCGCGGCCCCGCCGTACCGCCTTGTGCTCCCACGGACCGCGGGGGGGTGGGGGTCGGAGCCCCCCGTGTCGGGGTGTGCGGGGATTTGGGGAGGGGGGAGCGCAGCCCTGAGGTGTCGGGATGGGGAGAGGGGTTGGGGGACGACGCGTGGGACGGAACCCGCGTGTCCCCCCCTCCGTCTGCGCCGGCCCTATGGGACGGGGACGCTGCGCACCGCACCGTGGGGTCCCTCCATCTGTCCCCGCTTTCCCCCTTAAAGCAAAAGGGCAGCGCGCACCGCGGGGCCTTTTTGCGCTGTCCTCGCCGCCTCCTTCCAGCGGTTTAATGAGTAGCAAAGCTTTAACAAAAGCGGCGTCCGTGGGGGGGAAAGTCCGCCGCTGACACACGGAGCAGCACAGCGCCGGGGGGGCACAGAGCTCCGCCTTCCCCCCCAAAACCCCGGAGCCCTGCGAAGGGACAGAGGATGCAGGACGTCCCCCGCTGTCCTCCGGCCGCGTTGGAACAGAGATTGAATTCCTCTGCACCGCAGCGTTACCGCGGCCGCCCCGCTTTGCTCAGCGAAGCCACCGCTCGGGTGGGTGGGAGGGATGCTGTCACATCGCTCTCCTGCCCGCATTCTAAAATGCAGCCTTTTCGCGTGAGCCGCAGCTAGAAAACAGCTCGCTACCGCTCTTTGTAAATAAGAACACGCGAAAAAGCCGAGGCCCGATGCGGGAGCGGACGGCCGCCGGGCTCCGGCGCTGCGCTGTGGGGCTGCGGCGCGGCGGGGCGGTGCGGAGCGCTGCCGAGGGACGCAGCGGTGCGAGATTTGCAGCTCTCCGCTTGACGGGGATTTATGAACCTCCTCCCC